TAAAATGGTGCCGCTGTTGATCTATCAGGAGAGTTGGACATAGCTGGACTGTTTCTCACCTGTGCTAGCGGCGAAGCCTACACATCCAAATGGGCATCACTTATTTCGCTGCTTCTGGCAATGCCTGGAATGCAATTTCATTCAGCTACCAGAGACAATGTGGGTATTTGCATATACACGCTCAAATTCAAAAGTCTTTGTTGTAAGAACCAAAAAAAGACAAAAGAACATATATATCTGAGCTGCTCGAAGCTCGAATCGAAACTGTCTATGATCGTTTTGGGACACAATTGCTGGCCGAAGTAGCAGCTCAATGCTTGAAATAAAGCAATCTGGGGACTAGTTTCTATGTAGACAATTCGGGGCTTGGGGTAGGTCATTAGATTCTGGCCAACATTGTGGACAAGTGTGGGGCGGTCTAGGAGGCAACTTCTGCTGGCTTATCCTCACTAACGTGTGATAAGCGCACAGCTAAATTAATGTTCCATTGGCAAAGGTGATGGATGGAAAAGCAGCAGAGCTCATTTCTCGTTCTGTCTTAACAGCCTTTTTTTGAGAAATCTCGCCTGGTCTAGTGCAGGGAGCCCAATAAAGTAACGTTTTTGTTAAAATCATTCTGGACACCCTATTCGATTTGGGGGGGTTCCAATAGAGTAAAGTCTTTTCGGCTGGAAAATTTCTAGGGAAAGTTTTGATCAAAATTCCTGTATAATAGATTTTGCAAAGATTTTCTATTTTAATTAGATTGTAATTGCTCGGTTTTCAAGACCAGGCCATTTAACGTAAAGGCCGAGGACCCTGCCCCCCTTCCTCTTCTCTTGAAAGCTAGACCGAGCTGGATTCAAATAGGACCCGAAGGGTCCCTCTTCCTTTATGGAATTTCTTATTAGCCATAGGATGCTCTGAGGCCTTTTTATTATACGGACTCCCTTTTTGTTTGGGGGCCCCCTCCACACTAATCAGCATCCAACATTACTGTGTTGTTGCCACATCTCTGCTGTAAAGCTAACAAACACTCAATTGCCCCTATGTTCCTGAACTTTGCGAGCCTTCATTCTGCATGAGCGCGTGATGCTTCCAACCGAACCCTGAGAGCTTTGTGGGATTTCCCGCCCGCAAACACTGTTGGGCTTGAAAATCCAATGGCAGGTGTACAATGCGTGGACAAGATGTACCTTTTGGCTTCTCAAACTTGCAGTTCGCACGCTTCAAGACAAGCGTGCGGAGCGCTATGAAACTTGCGACCCTTCGAAGGTCTGCATCGCATCGCCAATCTGAGAACCTGTGACCATGGTGGGCCGTTAAGACCATGGTTTTCAGCAGGACACCTCGAAAAGTCTCCAGCTACCTCACTGCCTTCATTGATAGGATCCCGGAGAAGGAACCCTAACAATCTCTGGAAATTCCTGAATATGACGAGGTGCTGGAAGCAAGGCTGACAGGACTCCGAGGTGACCTAGCAAGTACATATTCACCATCTCACCATTGCCACTGCTGGTACGAAGAATACGAGCTGAGGGTAGGATTGAGGGCTCACGTTTTAGGATGTAGGGCTCAGGGTGCAACTTTTCTGGGACCGGGGGTTTACAGTTTAGGGTCATGGTAATGTATAGAAGAAGCAGTGAGCTCAGAACGTTTGTTTGAGATTCAATCCAACTGGCAATTCGAGTAGCTGAGTAGCCGTCCTAGTTTCCTGGTAGTTGCTGGGGTCTAGCCCAGCAAGAATCCCTGAGTAAATCCCGGAGTCTTCACGAAAATCCAGAGTGCACAGTGGTTATCTAGGTTTCCGTCGAGCCATGGAGCTCCAAAAGTCTGCAACAAAAAATGGAATGCGGTATTGCTGCTGAATTTGAACGTGGCCTGAACGAACCCTTGAGGACACTGCGGTGTTGGGAGTCAGGTCTGCTGGTTGAGGCTGGTGTCATGCAGGTTACGGTTCTGGCTCCTTCAGAAAATGATAGCACAGATTTTTCCAGTACTCAAATCAAATGCAAAGCTAGACCCAAGGCCCAACTAGAATGCGTTCGAAGAGTAGAACCACCAACGAATAGATTGCCAGAGTCGGCCTTTGGAGCCCTACGACCCTTGCGTGAATCCAGCAAGTTTATACATGTTTCCAGTGCTGGGGCTCGTAGGAAAGCTCTTCTCACGGATCTCCAGGCTACGATCACTCCTGTAGAATGGTCTCTGATCAGGTTTGCAGAGCCTACAGCGCTGCAAAAGCACGCCCAACAAAAGAAAAACAACCACAAGAGTAAAGAATTGCAGCTGTGCTAAACAAAGCCTTTGCAAAGGATGATTTCCTGGAAATGATGCCTTTTGGAAAGTTTATAAGTAGCGTTTAACCACGCCCTCGGCCCCGTGTGCTCAGAAACTGATGACATTCGAAGCTTTCCCAAGCAGCTAAACCCCAACTCGTAGCTGAGCGCTGTCACAAACAAGCCAAGTCAAAGAAGCAGACATCGTAGGTAGCTTGGCGTAAGTAGCTTGGCGGAACGAGTTGCAATACCATCGACGGAACATGAACAAATAGACAACGCTGCCCCGTACAACAGCCGTGGAAAAGAAGTGCTGAACAAGAATACTCAGGTTCGGCCATGTCCCTTGAATCTAGCCAAGATCACATTGTAGGCCAACAGGTTTTCGAAAAAGATCTGTCTGGCTTCGCCGTACAAAATGCCTTGCTTGGGTCAAAGGCTCCGGATTCAGAGTTTAGACATCTGGGATGTGCGCCGTGCGCCACTGAAATTCAAAGCAACGAGGTCGCAAATACTGTTTCTGCTTTGGCGTTTTGTATTTGGGCACTAGGATCTCCCCAGGGGTCCAAGTACCCTAACAGGAAAAACTTGAGCCCACCGTAATTTTTTTGCAGGAAACCCTTCGGCCCCAAATTGTATCGCGTTCGTAGTTACTGGTAGCTTCAAAGAATTAGGGTCCCCCTGTCTCCCTTTTCAGTCTAGAAATGACAAGTCACGAATACTGACGCCTTTGGAAATATGCAGACTTTGGGCGCCCCCCAATCATTAAATACTGTTGATGCTACAAACCCTGCCTGACCTTTGGAAAGCATACTGCAAAAATCGGAGAGTGTGAGGTACCTGGAGTCTTGCAAGATGGTTGTTATCAACACGATCTTCGTTAAAGCCTACATTCGGCGTCTGCATATATGTGCCCCATCTAGACCTCTCATGGCCATAATCGTTGAAGCACAAATTGAGGGAGTATACATGAGCGAGAAATCCCTGGGTTGGTGTTAGTGGAGGCAGTGAGCAAAACCCTCGAGACATTCCAGATGGCCACAAACAATTGCCCGAAGCCCACATGGTTAAAGATGCTGTAGGAGCCTGAGCAATCAGAACAGTGTAAAGCAGCTATGAAAGCAGAATAGCTGATTAGTCAGACCTCTACATCAGCTGGATCCGTCACTCATCTTCCACATAATATCTTGCTTCTCAGTGGTGGTTTCTAAACGTTACAAGTCCTTCTTGGCTTTCTGCATAAAACGTATCACAACGTTGGTGGTGGTAAGAGGACCCATTTTATGCCAAGCGCCATCTCATTCTTCATTCAGAACCAGCAACTGTGATGTCTTGCTAGCCAAGGAGAAGATGGCTCTGAGGTTCGTTGCTGGGTTCAGACGGGCATCCAAAAGACAAAACGTTTGAGGCTCAGGAGCTTAATGGGGCTTAGCTTGGGTTGGCACTGGCTCGTTGCAGGGGCCTCCGCTACATCTTGGGAACCCGGTGGTGAAGCAATCAGGTAATCAGCCACAAAAGAAAGAAATCCTTGCAAACGCTGCGCAATGCTCCCCACTGCATGCAACTCACTGTATACTCCCACAGTCTGGACTCAAGACAGTATCTTGCCTGAAGTTGAGCCAGTGACGGTCCACAGGATCATGGAAATCCTTCAGTTCTGAGATGTTGTAGATCTGCTGGTTGTCCTCACCTTCCACGCTCCTTAGAAGCGTCGCACCAGTGGTAGCAGCAGCTATAGACGAAGTAGCAATGTTCAGAAAAGTAGCAGGAACTACTGGCATGAGTCTCACATCTGTGCTGTTGAAGGCCTGGTTTGGTGACTCATGAATGAATCTCTAGGCTTTTTGGAAGCTCTCGTGGCATGTGATGTGAGCCTTAGGTCGGCTCATTGATTCAGAGTCATGGCTCAAGGCATGGAGCCAAACAAAGGGATAGGGCTTCCAGCACAAGGTTGAAAAGCCGAGACAGCCCAGAATTCTTTCCGTTGGAGGATTCTTGCATGCAGCCTTGGTGGACTTGCGTAGTATTCGTTGGAAAGGCAGTCACCAATTGCGACGGTCGCACAGAAGGGCTGCCAACTGGAAGCGTCAGGACTCTCAAGCAGCAGAATCTAGCGCGTCCGCTGGCTACTGGGCTTACCACTGCCCAGGGTGGTCCAAATTTTCAACTCAGGAAAGCCCTTAGATCACATTAAGAACCAATGCACTTCAATCTAGATTTCCTTCTCTGGGCTCTCTCAATACCCTTTTTTCCTGACTCCAGGCACCAAGGGCTAGAAGACATCCACCTCAATTTCTTTCAGGGTGTCTGATGTTTCAGCAAGCTCAGCAAACCGTTCTTTGGCATCGAAGTTACTCATCCGTTTTTAAAATGCATGTCTCAAATGAGGGCATCTTTTGTACCCACCAGCAACTCGCTGCAAAGGTTGCACAGCACGCGGACCGTTGGGCCCAAATGCCTTCCAAAACTGGGGTCAAAAGTTCAAAAGCTATGTCAACTCACCGGCCGGGTTGTGATCCTTCTTGGCAAATTTGCATAGCCGTCCTGTTGCACGAAGGCTTTTTGCAGCCATCCCATGGAAAACAAAAGTTCCAGCTTCCAGTCAGGCATATCATGCTGAACCGCACGGCCTCAACAAACACACCGGATTCTTGCCCTAATCGCCCCAAGATTCCAGTTTTCCAACCCCCAACGCCACGCGCCCGGTTAGATCACAAACGGCTGGACCTGTTGTCTGGGCTCGGCCGGTCATCCTCGAAGTCGCTCGCCAAGCATTCTCCTGATCTTCGGACATGTGCCCTCCCGAGCTAACATGGAAATGCAAATCCCTGAAGAGCATCGTGTCCTGTCCTAACTTTATGGGAGCGGCAAGTTGCCAGTTGTCTGTGCTGCTACTGACCAGGTACCGTACCTCTTCGCGGCAGTGAAGTGTTGCTATGCGTGGCATTGCTTGCCATTCTTGTCATTGCCACCTGTTGGCCTGAACTTTTCAACTTGTTCTCCAAAGCAGCTACATGGGCTTGGAGTTGCAAGTATAGATGAAGATGCACCAGGAATCGACAAGATTTTTTCGTTCATAAAATCGAGCTGCGCGAATACCGAATGTGTCTCATGGGGTCGTCAACTGGATATCAAGATGCTCTGCTGTTTCAAGGTCGGCAAGTTTGCATCGTGAAGTGACCTGTGCCAAACAGCACAAAAGGCGAGTACGTGAAGACGTTTGGTGAATTCTCAAACACCAACCACCAACCAAGAATGGCTATAATGCAGCTCCCCGTTTCAGTTTCAAATCCTCTTGAGAGATATGAGGGTCATTGTTCCGCAAGCTTCTAGCTCAGCTTAAAAGCACAAACCCTCGAGGAACGTCCCGCTACCACAGCGCCGCAAAAGCTTGCACGCTCTAATTTTGCATTTGGTGGTTCGGAGCAGGTTTTCAAAAGGGATATGGTTGAGTCGTACATTGGGCAGATGCTTATCCCTGAATTTGATATCTGCTCAGCAAGACACCCTAAACCTTGAAAACTCGACAGTTAACCTTAATTCATAAGGGCCTTCCCAGACCTGAATAGCACCGCCCGGCCGTCCTCCAAAGATCCGGTGGAAGAGGCAGATGGACAAATCCCACTCATCTGAGATTCCCACAAACCTACGTTGAATGGAAGAGAATCCAGCGGCTTTGGAGTTTAGTTCGGGGGAAACCTTGCCTCGCTTAAGATCTGGTATAGGGTAACTCCTACTATAAGACCAGATGTAGGGTGGTGGAGCTTTCCTCCACCCACGGTAAGTAAGGCAGAGGCGAAAGCGTTGAAGCTTGGGATCCAAATCCCAAGGTTTAGGCATCGAGCATCTTGTAGAGGTGCTGGGAGCCAAGACCTTTTGCTCCTTCTTGTAAAGCTAGCAGCATAATATGATTAGAAGCCGAAATTGTGAGAATCAGGTGTTGGGTCATCCCGTACTTCAAATTTTGTCAGGATCATGAGGAAGTGTGTTGGATGTTTGGTAATATATGCTACTTCCTCAGGTGAAGCCGCGTTAGGCTCAAAGGTTTGCAGGTTTTCAGGGAAATGTTGTACCACCTAGAAAATGCTGCTATCAATTCTCAGGGTCGAGGGTGTAAGGTTTGCTCAAAGAAGTGGTGGGCTACGTTCCCATGAACGTTTGAGCATGGCTTGAGCGCGCTCTTCTTGTGAAGAGCACCCTCCTGCAAACCGTTGCAAGAATACGAGCTATGTGGGACTCAAAAATGCAATTGCTATAAATTGCTCAGGGATAAAAGGCATCACCCTGGCCTCTTAAAGGCTGTTTTCTGGTTGCTGAGTTCGCTCGTCTCAGAGAAACAGCAGTCTCAATACCGCTGGATTGGTCTAAACCTTAGTGTTTACGCTGTGATAGTTCACACAAAGCAAAACTGAGCTTTGCAACTCCCCTTAAGCTTCCTTCCGCCATACATGGAGGGTGTAAATTGTGATCCCTCTGCGGGTGCCCAGTGTAATGCAGCCGGTGCCTCTAAAGATGCTTTTGAGAACCTCCACCCCCCCCCTCCCCCCCTTTCCCCAGATTGTCTCAGCCCCAAACTCTGAACCCCCTCCAATTTGGCCACGCTGCGCAAAGCCTTCGCGCAATCTTACGGCTGCGAGTCTAGCATCTGCCTAGCTGAAAGGGTGTAGGATTTAGGATTTTGGCTTTGGGATTTCGGGTCGGCTGGCTTAGGGTTTCGAGCTGGCGGAGCCACAACGATGCTGAACTATGGCACGCTTCTCACCACGGTTTTTCAGAAGTGAAACACAAACAGGCCGCAACAACGGCCCAGTTAATAAGTGTAAAGGCAAGAAACCCTTTCTTTGGGGTCTACACGTAGAACAGAAAAGCATAGAACTTCGATGGGCAGGCTCAGGGCACACAGTGCTATGCAGGATCCCATAGGCTTGATTCAGAATTTGCAGATTTTTGAAAACTTGCGATTCAGGCTTCTTTCTTGCGCAACCCCAAGCCCTGAACCCCACAGGAAAGCCTGAATTATGCACTTCCAAGATGCCCTCACACTAGGAAAGGGAACCTACCAAGGTTAACCTCCGTTAAAGTATAGTCTAAGAGGTGCTCCATGCTCGAGCAAGAAGGCCGGATCCCACGCTTGGGGCTCTTTCTAAGGATCTTGGTCATAGTGCCAGTAATTTGTTGGCTGGAAGCTCGTCAGCTGTTTGATGTTGAAGCTCGGTTCTTATGGAGTTAAACTTTTGACTTGCAACCAGACCCAATCCAAGAAATTGGCATCAGGTCAGGTACTAGTTCAACTTGTTTGGTGCTCTGCTGTTCCAAAGAGTTATGGCAAAGGGCAATGTTTGAAGTTTGGTTGGGGCTGTACGCGATAAGAAAGAGTCTCTCGACCAGAAAATGCTTAGTTTTTGCATAGGTGCCCTCAAAGAGCTCCCACATGACAAGAAACTCCCCTCGACGGTTGCTACAGTGTAAGAACCACTCCTCAGAACGGCTCATCCCGGAAAAATGTGTGCAGGACTGGGGGAGTGAAAGTAAAGCATGAACGGTATGTGGGGCACTATCAGGCGACTTCTTCTGATATACTGCATAAAATACGCTATAATATAAAGACCCTCGAAAAGGACCCACAATTTAGAGAATCAGTGGGGCTCCCAGTGGCGTCTGTTGCCCCTTTGTCTCCGGGCCTCTGTGAGATCTCGGCACTCCTCCCCACAATCTCGCAAGTGGGACTTAGGATTGTTTTAGCTTGGGGCTGAGGTCTTGATATGTTCAGGCTTTGTGGGTTTAGGGTTTGTGATGCTTGAAGTCCAGCTTAACCTCACAATGCTGGCTGTGACGTGGAGCATACCCATAAACCATTATTGGAGTGGTAGGAGAACCAGCAGAAGGCAAGTGAAGAACCAACATGGCTAATGTAGGGAGGGCTTCCAGGTTTGGCATCCGGAAAGCTTGTTCCGATAACCCCCAAACCGATGCATGCAGGCAGAGGCATATTTGCTATAGTCCAACAAACTTACATGGAACCCGGAAGGGGCCCTGCAAAGACTATTGTCCTGTAGAATTGAGATATCTTGGGTTTCATGCGAATTTGGGGGAGAGTGACGATCAGAAAGTATGTTCAAGCCTGAGCCACGAGCAGTCAGTTCTCAGGGTTTAGTGCTACAACCTGCCTGAAAAGCCTGGTAGCCCGAAATTAATTTGCCACTGGAACCCAAAGTGGTAGGATATGAAGGGAAAGCAGGCCGTAACATAACTTGAATGCTTTCCTGCCAAGGTTCAAACCCCTCCAAGCCCACCCAAGAGAGGAGCCGAAATTGGGACAGCTAGATCAACAATGAAAATCCGACTGTGAAAGCCGCGCTCCTGAAGCAGCCAGATGTTCTACGCAAACCCCTCTGAAAAGGAGTTTTGTAGATCAAGATAGACTCACGTGAGCATGTTTCCTTCAGTTCTATTTTGAGGCGGACACCATCCTTTACCTCAAGATCCTACACCCTCACGCGCAAACTCTGGCTCTCAATCCTGAAGCCAGAAACCCCAAAGCTTCACAAATCACCCCTGTCCTCCGATCCCGACCCCCAAGCTCATGCAATCTAAGCCCTTCTCCTTGGGCGGTGGGTCCATGCTGCCATCGCGCAATATCTGGCAGGTCATACCGCCTCAGGAGGGGGTTTAGCTAGTGTTTAGGTTTTGCGTGACCTAGGGTATAGGGCTTGCAAGATACGAGTTCAAACGTTGTGGGGGAGTATTCGGCTTAATATTCTCACTATTGCTCACAATTGGCGTCAGAGAATTTCCGTCACATTGGTGGCATGAACGTTTCGAACTGCAGTAGCGGTGTTCAAGTGAGCCATGAACGCAGCCACAATCCCTGTGTTCGCTGCCCCACTCCGCCCTTCAGAAACATCCGTGACCACAAGATTCTCTGAAGCTAGGCCCAGGCGCCCAAAGAGCCGAATAATGTGGCACCCTTTTTAATGATGGGGGGTCCCCCCCCCCCCCCTGAACAATTAC